GGAAGTGATTGTTGTCGAATTTCAAGTGCTTTTTCATGTGATTCAAGTGCTTTTGAATATTCTCCCATATTATTATATACTATACCAATATTACTGTAAGAGATTGCTAAATTAGGATGATTTGATGGAAGTGATTTTTCTTCAATATCAAGTGTTTTTTCATAAAATAAAAGTGCTTTTGAATATTCTCCCAGATTTTTATAGACTGAACCAATATTATTATAGGATGTTGCCAAATTTGGATGATTTGATGGAAGAGTTTTTTGATAGATTTCCAATGTTTTTTCGTAAAATTCAAGTGCTTTCGAATATTCACCCATATTATCATGGAGTAAGCCAATATTATTATATGATATAGCTAACGATGGATGATTTGATGGTAATGTTTTTTGTTCGATTTCGAGTGCTTTTTCATGTGACTCAAGTGCTTTTGAGTGATCTCCCATATTTTTATATACTAGACCGATGTTGTTGTAGGAAATAGCCAAATAAGGATGATTTGGAGGAAGACTATCTTGTTCGATTTCAAGTGCCTGCTTATGAGATTCAAGTGCCTTAGAATAATCACCCATATATGTTTGAACCAAACCGATGTTGTTGTATGATATTGCTAATGATGAATGATTTGAAGGAAGCGTTTTTTGGTAGATTTCAAGTGATTTTTGATTAAATGAAAGTGCTTTCGAATATTGACCGATATTATTATACACTTGACCAATATTATTATAAGAAGTTGCTAAATCAGGATGATCTTCTGGAAGAATTTTTTGATAAACTTCAAGTGCTTTTTCATAAGATGAAAGTGCTTCTTCATAATCACCTTGATTACGTTTAATTAATCCAAGTTGATGATAAAGTAATGCTTGTTCATTATCATCAGTTGTCAAACTAAATAATGTTTTGTATACTTGTTCAGCTTTATCAAATTTACCTAATTTAATAAGAAACATACCAAGTCGATGCCATCCTGTTGATCCACGAGTTTCTTCTCTTAATCGTTCAGTAAGAGCAATAATTTGTTGATTTTTAATACTTGTCAATTTAAGTTCAACTTGATAGAGACGATCATTATTATCAATTTGTTTAATTTCACCAATACGAAAAACAGTATGCATTGAAAAAAGAATTTCTTGTTCTGATGTAAAATAACTAACACCATCAATTAATCCAAAAGGAGTTGATAAATTTGATGGTTCAATAATCATTTTAAATAGAATACCAATCATATCAATATTATTTAAAGCATCTTGTGAAAATTCTAATGAAACTTTTCGTTTCTTACTTGTTGATAAGAAATTATTGAATGACATTAATCCACCTTTAGCTTTAATTAATTTTTCAAAATCTTCTTTTAATAATCCTTGTCCTCGATAAACAATAAATGAACGTTTTTGTTGATCATTTGATTGTTCATTATGAAGTTGTTCAATTTGTCGATGAAGATCTTGAATAAAAAATCCCATTTTAATAATAGTATCAACTTCATAAGTACGTAATGCTCGATTAAGCACTGAATGAATAAAACATGGATAAGTATACCACCAGATTGGTGAATTTTTACGATAATTTTTTTCAAATCCATTAATAATTTGTAATTCATTTTCATTACCTATATATTGTTCTTGACAATAAGAAACTAAATCTTTAATAGATTGTTCATTATATGTTATTTCAAATATAATTTCTTTAAGTATTTGTGTATACATAAACGATTGATCAAGATGATCTAAAATTTGATCGGATACTTCACTTGCTGTAACAAAACTAACTGATATAAAATTTTGTTCATATTTTTGTGCAGCTGGTTTTAATGAATCACAAATATGTCGAATTTGTGTAAAAACACCCATGATTTTTGGCCAATCTTTTGCCCATTTTTCATGTTTTAATTTACTACCACAAAAAATATAAATAGAATGAAGTTGTGATATATTATGAATATAAGAAATAATTTGTTGACCAAGTGCACCGGATATAATCATAAATACTTTTTCATCTTTAATATCACTAAGAAAATCTATACAATGATCAACATTATTAAATGTTTTAACTGTATTAACAACAGTTCGTAATTGATCAATATCATCACGATAATCATCATCAATAATATCATCAAGATTTGAATCCAACCAGACAACAAGAAAATTTTCGATTACACGAGGATGTGGACGTAATCGAGAAGTATTCGATTTTTTCTTACTTTTATTTTCATCAGTAAAAATACTTATTGCTGCTTTTACATTCTTTTCAGCCATGGTATATAGTAGAAAAGACGTCAATTTGAAACGATGAATTAATGAATGTTGTTTGGCAAGAAAGATGGATGCTTTTATACAAACGAAATTGGTTTTTTTCTTTTCTTGATGTTTTATCGCTTGTTTAGTTTACGTTGTTAACTTTGAATCTATTGTTTACCGGGTACTTCTAGAAAAAAGCAGTGTTGAATGATGAATGTCAATAAAAAAAGACTCCGATAACGAACGAATGCAACAAAAATGAAGTAAAGTGTAGTTGTGATGTTGGAAAGTTCGACAACGTTGTATTTATGCATTCATTCACGTGGTAATATAACCTTGACAAAGGTGGATTGTGTCAACATGAATTTCAAACAAAAAAAAAAAGAAATATTCATTTTTCTTCTGGTTTTTTCTTTACAAACTTGTAACAACATTTTCTATTCATCTTGTCTTGCAATACATCGTTGTGTATGACACAAACTACGCAATGGGACATGGTAGGCAGTCTTTATCAAACTTATCTTTGACGATATATGCAAATATTTGTTAAGAAACATCCAAAAAAAAATACTTCAATGTTAACAAAAGTCACCGTAAGAAATCCAACCTTTTTTCATAGTAAAAAACCCTCTTACAGTAGGCCATTGGCATGAAACACATGAGTATGAATTATTTTATGTTACAATCGTGTTTTTTTTTCCATAGAAATATTAATTTCTACTGTTCGAAAGTAAATGGTTGATGAAAAAAAATTCTTTTTTGACTGACTATTGTCTGAAATTGAGTCAAAAATATTTTTATTTGAAAATCGAACGAATTATACATCATTCCATGTAGTCCTTGGTGTTGATTATGAAACTGTCTTTGACTTTATCCAAAAGTCTGGAACGGGCTTAAATATATGTGCTCACTTGACTGAAGACATCTTTTTGTAATATCTCATAGGAGTAAAATAGTGCAATTTTTTTTGATAACAAAGTGATAAAACACAAGCTTCTCTTTCACAATCTGAATACTTTTTTTTCTCATGTCGTGTAATAGTTTTCTTTCTGCAACTAAAAGCTTTTATTCAAGTCATCAAAAATCTCACTTTCATTTTTATGAAGCACAATCTAAAAGGAGTGTTAAAGTATATAGGTTAGAAATACGAGCTTCCTCCCCTACAGACAGCGACAGACACTCTGGTAATCGATCGTAGACAATGGCGGGCACCTTTGCGATTCTCTCCTTGAGGGTGCGAATAACAACTATATCGTGTTTCACATTTTAATCCTACCGAGATTTCTCTAAGAGGGTGTGGGGTGTGGGTGAATTTGCATGTGATCGTGGCTGTGGATGTGGTTGTTAATTTTCACCACACCCACATCCTGATTTTTTTCTTGATTTGATAAATCAATGAGTATGATTCAATGTCATTTTAAATTTGAAGATAATTCTCAATGTGTTGATAATGTTGATGATGTCGTTGACTTTCTTTGTCAATATTGTTTAGATAGATTTTGTCTTGCATACCTTATAGAACATGTGTGTATGATTTAAAAATTCAATCAATTTGTAAGAGAGTTTTTTTGAAGTATGTAAGTTTCTAGAGTGCTAAAAATACAATTATTTTAGAGAATGTTCATCAAGCAAAAAACAATCTGTTTATGGTGTTAAGGCGAAAATGATTATGGAATCGTCGTTATTAACAGAAGCAACGAACGAATCAGAAATTTCTTGTTCTTCTTATGTAGACATTATTAGAACATTCAACACATTACCAACATTAAAATACATATTAACACCAGATTCATCAGGTTAGGATTTTTTCTGTTTAAAAAAAATCCTTATTTTATTTTTACTTTTAATAATAGTTTCTTCTGTGAAATTTCATCCTCTAGCAATATCGCCACCTGATAAAGAATTGCACTCAATTCATCCGAGATTGGAAACTCAGAAAGTTCTTTTTTTTTATAGGGTATCTTCTCAAAGCTTTGATTGAACGTATTTGTATATAAATGATTTTCAACTGCTCCCGAGGTCGACGGTCGTATCTGACCTTCTTTCTCATAAGAATTCATTACTTAGTTTATGTTTCAATCATATTAAACAAAATAATTTTGTATCATTATATTTGAGCATTTGATTTATGACAAAAGTTCCAGCGTTAAATCGAAATAATCTAATACAATTATTATTATTACAAAATATCAAGCATCTTCCCTTAAATATAGTAACTTTCGTTTTTCTTCTCATTTTGTTTCTAATTTTATTTTCAATCTTAATTTTTCTTTTTCTACAAATTGGCTTTTGTGCTTATGTTCGTAATGCAGAGCCCTGATTAGTGTTTCAATATTTCCATAAATAACACAAAACGCATTGTCGAAATCAACTTTCGATTTTTTCATTAATTTTCATCAAAATGTATTTAAATATTATTTTATTTATATTTGAACCTGATCGATTGCTGAAACAAGAGTTGAAAGCAACAGATCGATTTGTATGATAGACATATAGATTGATCTAGTTTCAATTCATGTATACACCCACACCTATATCCTCACAAGATGATTGCCAATAATATAATTAATTCATATTGTATCCCATTCAATTTTCCATTGAATGATACATTGGATAACATTTTGAAATGTTTTAAAATGAAGTCAATCAGGCTCAAATGTCGAGTTCATCACATCAGCTTCAATATTGTAGTTTCTTATATTTCGAAGTTCTTTTTGCATTTGACTTTAATCAAAAGCAGAATATACCATATTAGTTGATATCAGCAAGCCAATTACAAGAGAATATTTTTGTGTGAATATTCGTGTTAAATCAATGCAAAATTATAATAAGATACTATTAGATCAAAATGATCGATCGTTAAAGACTTTTGTCAAATATAAAATGCAATTTTATAATTTTCTAATGTTTGTTCACTTTCATTGACATTTCTATTTATATAATTTGCCAATATTTAGTGAACATGTTCTAAACTAGTAAAACTCGTTTGTAAATCAGGATGAATTGATGATAAGATCTTTTCTTTGATATTTAAGTGCTCGATTCTGATTTCTTATATGATCATAAAGACAACTAATATGATTATATATTCAAGTTAAATCAAGATTATGATTAGATGATATTTGTTTACGAATATATTAAGTGCGTTTATTATAATTGAGAACATGTTCATATTTATTTTGTCATTGATAGACTATACTGAATATTGAAAATAGACTTGAAAGAAGAGCAATACAAATGATTGTTTTACATGCGTGACTGTCATGGTTCATAAGAGTAGGTTTTGTATTTATATTCGCGTTGTCCTCTTTCCTACATATTAGTTATTATCATTTTAAAGGTCATGCGTCTTATTATTGGACAAAAATTTCAAACAGAAAATTCATGGTTTCGTTTATCTGTTGTACCTTGTGGAAAAGTTCAAATCGTAGTAAAACAAAATCTCAACTTGTCTTGCTATTGAAATAGTCTCATCTGTATATCGACATACAAAAGAGATCGCAAAGTGTTACGTGTTATTATTGATGATTTCATCAAAACTCGCAATGAACAAACATTTTATAGCTATCATAATATAACTATGGCGAATTTCTGAATTTAATATTTCTTTTCATTTGTTTAATTAATATCAAGAAAAATCTTGTTGTAGAAAAACTTAATATCATAGTATACGATTTATGAAACTATGACACGTTGACAATTGAAAGAATTTTTCAATAGTTTTTGGTATGTTCTATTCAATTCAAAATATACCTATTATTTAGTCTACAGTTGTAATCAATAGAGTTTTTTCTTACTAGTACTGGTAGGGAGCTAAATGGTGAGGTTGATCAGTAGATCTGTACGAGAGTTATCGTTCACTTATTTCGTCCTATAATCGTCAAATGGAACCTTTGAATAGTCATGTGTGTCTGTTAATCATTATTGTAATGATGTAAGGCTGCTGCTTTGCTACTATAGAAGTTTTCACTATTTATTTCTATTAGTTTTGTCTCTTTGATCATGTATCGTTAAACAAAAAACTTTATAGAATTACAAAATCTATATTAACTTTTTGCATGGATTTAATAATCATTAAACATCAACATTCATGTTTAATTGTATAATTAATCTGCTTCTTATTCTATAATATTTCCGTAATTATCTGACTCTGAAAAAGTTCGAAATATTTTTCCTGTAAATTAGCAATAGCTGATGCGTACGGTGATACTATGTATTTTAAGGGTATTCCCTCCTGTTTCAATAATGTCTTATGAAAGTTAATCTAGTATATGTGTTTTTTATTGTTTCTTTTTCTATGTTGTGTTAATTGACTATTGACTTGACAGTTTTGGGTTACTTAACGTTACAATTGTCAAAAATAATGCTACATAAGAAATAGGATTTTCGGAGTTTCTATATTTTACATCAACTCCAAAGTTTCTTTTAAAATGATTTCCACTCGGATACAAATCTCTAGTGTGAGTGGATGATGTAAGTATTGGTAAATGTTAAGATAATGGTATTCATTCATTCATACCATTCTACCAATATCACTATATTGGTGTCTCACTATATAATCAAAAAGTATTATTCAAAATTTCTTTTCTAATCTTATTTCAATTCATTTCTGTACCCTTTAGGACTAACATTGAGATATAATGGATAAATTCTTGAAAAGTGAATTCTGTGAAGGAGAATGTAAAATTTTTTATACTACTGCTGAATCTTTTTTTTTAGAAATGCTAGCCATCTTTTTTTCAATAACTCGTGACTTCTTACAGGTATCGAACTCGGATTTTTCGTTGTTGAAAAGAGCAAACATGAGGCTATTGAACTATATAGAATTCATAACATTCAAAGAAAGTTTTCAGAATTGTCTCTTACAAATATTATTTTAATTAAATTATAGAAAGATCTAGGGATTTTATCACGAATATAAGGCTTTCCATATAATTTAAGTCGAGATTACTATGACAAACTCATGAAAACAGATAAAGAAAAATATATTCATTTGAAAACAATCATGAAAATCTTCTTCAAATCCTATGAATTCTATTTAGTTCGATGGTACCACATTTGTTCTCTTCAATGACGAAAACTCAAAATCGATAGGTAGAAGCAATCAAAAGTTATTTCAAAAATGATGATTGGGATTTTTGAAAAAAAATTCCACAATAGAAATATGAATCACCCATACAAAGAATAGATAATAGCAAGGTAAGATAGATGAATTTCATCGATTAGTCACATTTGAATAGGTAAATTGAAAAGTGTCATATACATGCATTCATAAGCAAAAAAACCATGATTGTGATAACAATAGAATAGTGGAGAAAAAAGGTAAAGTATGATATCATTGAGGGAGTAATTATCATATTGGAAACTTGCTATCTACATATGATTGGTATGATGCATTGTTGTTAATATATCTGGATTATTCCCCAACTACAGTGCTTGAATATGTATAAATACTATTCTTTGCATTGATGTAGATTTAGTTTAAGCTAGTGATATCCAATCAAATAAACAGGCAACGTTATATCAAAATTATTATAGATATAACTCAATCGACGATAAACACTCATGCATAAACATATCTTTATCTTGTTTTTCATTGTTCTCTTAGCATTTATGTTCACCAATGGTATACCATTGGCACACATTGATAATGAAAACGATTCGAAATTGCATACATTAGTTCTTCGTAATGATTTTAATTCGAATAAACCCTTTAAAGCAGTCAAAGTTGTTCGTCGAGATAATGAAGATGTTCCTGAAGATTCAAATGGAGATGCGAACTTCACCTCAGATCAACGTCAATTTCAGAATGAGACGTTATCAGCACATCATTTCTATCGTGCTCGTCATTGTGCTCAACCTCTTCAACTTAATGATACACTTAGTCGTTCGGCTCAAGACTTTGCTCAACAGCTTGCTGATACGAATCAATTTCATCATAGTGGAACTGAAGGTGTCGGTGAAAATCTATACATGGCAAGTAATTCAAATGGTATCAAAATTAATGGTAAGTCATCTTCAAATCATCAGATATATTCATCATATGTGATTATTCTAACATTGTAGGATCTGCAGCAGTGACTGCTTGGTACAATGAAATTAAAGACTACAATTTCAATAATGGAAGCTTCTCAATGGCTACAGGTCACTTTACACAAGTTGTGTGGATCAAAACGCGAAGTATTGGTGTGGGTATTGCTTATGGAAATGAAGATACTTCTGTCTATGTTGTTGTTCGATATTCACCTCCGGGCAATTATGAAGGTCAATATCAAGAAAATGTTCGTCCAGAAGGCAGTTGCTAAATTGATTATTCCTATTGATAATCTAGCAATTTGAAAGAGAACTCGTGATTTCATCTATCTGTATCTACTTTTTTAAAGTTTCTTAATCAATAAACCATTGTAAATAGATATAATGTTTATTTTCTGCAACGTCTAAGTTCTAATACTTTTATTAGCTGTATTAAGCATTTTCTTCTCTTCTGTTGGTTCTACATTTGTGCTTGTTTATTTGCTTATTGTTTTTCTTTTTGGATATTTCGTACTAGAGGCTACATAAAGAAGAATCGAATAATGGGATTTTTCACATTATTGATTGAGAATCATTCTCCGGAAGATAAGCTACATGAAAATGCTCATATTCTATTTCGGCAAAATAAAATGAACGTTTATGGCGAACAAAATATCTTGAAATGCATAGTACTGATCAATGTGAATCTTATCGAGATTCAATAACAGTTATTTGTTCGGATATATGTAGTACATGTTTACCGTTGTTTATTTTGTGCCCCAAGGGAAAAAAATGAATAATGGATTGAATTATGATTGTTAAATTCCAAATGTTTTTTCATCGAATAAATCGATTTCAAATAAATTTAAAAAAAAACAATATCTATTCATTAGACAATTGATGGGCATAGCTATTCGGAAGAAGTGTTATTTGAATTTATAATTTATAATTTTATTATGGAAACAATTAGTAGGCGGAGCAGTAATTCCCGTTTATGTCGTATAAACTCACATGCAATTGTTATGTATGTGTTGAAACAACTTGAAGGACTTTTCTCTAGAAATCCAAAAGAAACAAAAAGTCCCAAACTGAACTCCTCATTTTCCAATACTTTTTCATAAACAACTGATTCGATTGTGATGTAGCCAGAGAACCATAGGCTCTTGCTAGATTTGCTCGAACTGCCTTTAAAACAGATGTTAACCATCTCGAAATATTAGTTTCTTGTTGCATTGGGATTGATCTTCTAGAAACAAAAGTCCGATGAATTTTACCTATTAATATATCCAAAGTTTCTTTTTCTTTTCTATACAAAATTAAACAATATTTTGTCATATGTAATATACTTCAGAAACGAACCTCATACCGTTGACGGTGTGAGCACCTTTTTCAACGAATAAAAATTCTTCTTTTCAAAAAAATCCCATAGATCATTCTTAAAATTGTTGTTATTCGTAAATATTTATTTAAAGTGCAAAAAAAAATTTTGTCGGCATTTCATTTGTTCACTATAACATAAATAGCGAGAGTAAACAATAGCAATTGATCTAACAGAAGAACTAAAGTAATAGATAAATAAACCAACAAGTACACATAATTTTCAACTGTAGCTATCTTTAATCGAGTTAAGGAATCATTGAGAAATCTTTCTTTGTTTTATCAAGTGCATTATCACCTGCACGGTATGACTTTTTTTCTTCAAAAATATTTTCGGGATTTAGCGAAACTAAAAAAAATCAATCTCGCAAGACAATATTAGCTATATGATCGTAGAGAATTCAATCTTCTCGAGTTTTCTTTTTTGCTTATTCCATTATGAAAAAGCTAGATTCGAAATGTTCTACTCAATTCAATCGCTTCTGTTCGAACAAAAAGTGTCATCCAATGGATCCATGCGTTACATGTTTCATTTTTTTTTTGCTGATATGATGTGGAATTGTTTACATAGATCTCTTAATCTCTGTCACGTCTTGTGCTGCGTATCAATGAAGAAGAAGTAATAGGTCAATATCAGTTTATTGACGTGTTAACAGTAACAAGAACAAAAAGATAATGTTGCGACAAATTACGCAATCAATAGAAAATATATGAAAAAGGAAATACGCAATACAAAGAGAATAGAAAAGATCAAAAAGAAATACGTCATGTGAGACTAGATAGGAGAAAGAACGAAACAATATATGTATTATCTAGCTACTCAGAATGTATAACAAAATCTAAAGAGAACGAAAGAAAA